CTTTTGGTGAGATTTTTGTCGCCATTTAACTCCAATCAGCTGAACGAGACTTTTGTCTCTCACCCATATTAAATTGAAATGGCTGTTCTACATCAGTTTCCTTCATCAAAGTTTCCATTTCTCACCCAGATTGTGATGAAAAGGCCAATTTCCCCTCAATTGTGTTAGATGAGATTTCTGTGTTTTAACTAAATTGAGTTGAAAAGGACATTTACGACAACCTTTAAGTGTGATTGTGTTTGATTATCATGAAAAAGACACTGTTTCAGAGGTTATAATGGAACAGAGAATGTCCAAAATTTTTTCAAACATCTCAATTGTAGTTTTTTTATTTTTTTTATTTTCAGTTTTGAGATTTATCAATTTTAATTATGAAAAAAAAAATGTATTTTCTGACATAAAACCAACTTAAAATGTCTTCATCTCCATTACCACGTCTTACAAACAGAACACTCTTTTGGAAAATACCATTAATTCATGCAGTCCGACATCAGTAAATTCTTATGGTATTTCTAAGATAAGACAAGGGAGAATCCATTTTTCGTCACACCCCCTACCTTGCCGATCCACTTTCTCTCGTTCCCTGTGTTCCCTATGTTCTCTGTGTTCCCGGTCCCTGTGTTCTCTGTCATGATTGCCATGAACCATATCGGATCTGAATAATTAAAAGAGAACATTACAGTTAACAACACAGAGGTAAACAGTGGACCCTGCAGGGGAACAAATCTTGAAAATACAAGTGTTGAAGGATTCATAAAAATAATATAAGTGTCTGGGTTTATGATAATAATTCAAAAAAAGATTAAAAATATATATCTAATTTTTGTGTTTTTTTTCAATGAGATTATTTAATGACAGAAAGACTGTCAAATGTGCGTATATAATCCCCTTTTACAATGAGTGGTACAGTTTTCTACATCACATCAATTTGAGAGATAAACAGCCTGGGTATTATATAAGAAATGACTGTGTATGATGTTACAGCTCCCAGTATGGATAACGAGTCAAACGATTCTAATCGGGAACTCATATAAATGAATAAAGAAAGAAACATAACTGCACTAACTAGCAACCATTCAATCCCAGAATGCACTTACTCTATATTTCGATGGACAATCAATTCCACCTGAGGCTCCTGTTTCGACTCCATGATAATATCGTACACGTCCTCAAATGTTGCCGCTTGTAACGACCTTCCGTTCCACTCTATGACTTCATCGCCAGGGCGTAATTTCCCCACAACGTCTGCAATGCTGCCTTTTTTAACTTTGGTTACGAATGCGCCAAGCTGGCCTCCCTCTGTCACCTTTCCTCCAACCACTTTGAGACCTAAAATTTTCAACAATATGAAAATTACCAAGCAAAAAATAATAAACAAATAAATAAATGAAATAAAAATAAAAAATAAATGATTTTATGCAATAAAGCTGTTACAAGAATCTTTACACTTGCAAAAGCATAAATAGCCACATGTACTAAAACTAATCAGTAAACTACATCTATCTACAACAATTGCGTACATCACATCCTTCCCACAATGCATTTCACCACTACTAATACACACCGGTACATCTAAACATACCACAATAAATCAACCACCACGTCAGCTTTGTACTATGCCCTCTTTTTAAGGAAGCTATTCAAAAAGCACAATCATTTCTATTAAAATTTTCTCTCAAATATAACCAACTCTATGCAGCAGACTTCCCATAGCTCATCCTGTACAAAATAACTTATCCTTTATCTTGAACAAATTTCATGGAACAGATTTTTTCTTTCTACAGCTGAAATTTATGAGGATTGTGAACAAATTTTCAGGTAACTAAGTGACATTGTTATGTGAAGTCTGACAGTCAGCATATGAAATATTGACTGGCAGAATATCTCATTTAATTTTTCTGTAGCCATTGACAAATGGATTTTTATTTGTTGATTGAAAATGCACAACTAATAAAACTGTTTCATATTATGTGCAGTCTAAGTAATGTGATAGTATATAATTTTATAATGTAGAATACGCAAAAATACATGAAGTTGGTACCTCTGATATAATAGAGCACATTAAACATTAATAACCACAATACACTGTAGGAAATAAGCTAGCACACAAGAAAACCACATCTCCAGTCCCTGAGTCACACTAATTAACATGCATGCTTAGCTTATTTGACAGTTCTACATGTTTCTGTGCTTCACATTAAACAACTTGCATAACTGAGTTGTAAAGTATGTAAAATTTAAAGGTCTAGAGCAATTACAGCACTAGATTATTTCACATGGCTTGTGCTGTTTCTAACTGCTACCGAAGTTCTACTTCTATACATGGATAACATATTAAAAGGACAACTATAAAATCTAACACATTTCCTTGTGCACTCTATCATATATACAAACTACATGTAGCACATGTACCAGGGATGATAATGTGGTTTAGTGAAGAAGTTGGAAAATATGGCGTGGGGTCCAGGTGGCCGCCAAGGCCAATGATATTTTTGGTTTCCAAGAAGTTGAAAATTTGCCGACAGTTAGAAAAGTCTCATACCTACATGTACTTTACAATATAATAACCATTTGAACGCTAAAATTCTTACCCAGAATTCCCCCAGAATCTTTTCCCTTCCCGTCCGCGACACCCTTTTTCAAGATCATGTGACCTATGACTTTCTTTCCATCGTCTGCGGTCCGCCAAGTGACTGGGTGCTGAAAAACATAAATAAACATGTGACCACGCAAATGAATAAACAAATGAAAATGCAGATTTTATGAAAAATAAACATTAAATGAAATGCATGTTAAAATATTTTCAAAAATTGTGCATGCTTACTTGGTGGTGAAGCCTTTGCCTAACCAAAAAGTTATTTTTATGTATTCAACATTTCTATTTCTCTTTAAAAAAAACCCCTTTATTATAAATATTTTACTGCTACTTTTAAATTTTCTTTTAATCTGGTAAATACATTAATTCTTTAAATAATAAAAAACAGATAGAGTGAGAACTATTATATAATGAAGGCTGCATGCCATTCTAGAAACTGTTACAGACAAAAATTAGGGCAATTTGAAAAAACGTGCCAAAGGCACAATAAGACAAGGGCCAATTCAGACCGAAAAAAAATTCAACTTTCATCATAAAACAATGAAAACTGTTAACTAGGAATAAAAAGTTTTGTGGTACAATACATCGTCTCTTTTTCTGTGACTTAAATTATGAAGACACAAGTTGGATCATTTTTTCGGTCTGAAGCAGTACTTGTCTGAAGAGGTCCACAGAGCTACAAACATTTCAGTCAAATTACAGCTATAAAATATTTAAAAGAAAATGAGGGGGCAGCAGATTGATGTAGAAGCTTCAAGAAAAATGCTCAACAAAATCATGCATACATAAGTGTATGATATAAGCTAACATTTGACAAAATGCTGTTCATTTTTTTTTTCACTATTTCATAAAATTCCAGGTACTGACAATTACATAAAGCCTTCACAATTAAGTTAAATGTCATGCCAAATATCACCAACTACCACAATATTAATGAGAACACAATATGTGTGGAAAGAAGAAGAAAACACAATATCATATGGGAACTAGAAAGCCACCTGGAAATATTGTAGTCCCTATAATGGACAAGTTCAGTGTAAAGAAATCAGAATACCAAAATGGTAACTGTTGTATTGTTCCTTTTTCCCCCAAACAGGGACTCACTCATAAAAATCATCAACAGTTTTTAAAAAGAGGGTTTAATGGAAGCCTCCCAACTCCTTACCCAAAGAAAGCGAGAAAAAAGTGCCAAATTTTATTAAATAACCCCTAGGGCTTAGTTTGCAAATTGCAAGCAAATTTCACAACCAAACACAATGCTGAAGTTGCTAAATTGTGCTAGAGAAGACCAATGCATACATTTCTTTGCTTTTAAATTAACAGGAAAACTGGTGCCAAAATGGAAGGATAATCAGTCAGTTTTTCACAGACAATGTCAGGTGAATTTTATTATATATCTTTTTGAAATAACAAAACTACAAAGATCCTTAATTTAGATCTTGTAAGTGTAAACACTCAAATGTGAAAGATGAAATAAGGAAATTGCTTCAGTTAAAAAACATCCATTCAAAAAAGTGATCTATGAGCAGTATGCATTGTAGAACCCACTGAAGAAAAAAAAAAGAAAAAAAAATTTCAGTATCCCCTGCAGTTTTCTCCCTTAATACTGATATATTCATTAAAAAATGGTACAAATTATCATACACTGACAATTAAGGAATATAATATCCAACCAACTGACCATAACATATGTATATACTGTACAAAACTTTAAGTAACATATGACTGTAGTGTTAGTCTAAAAATTCCAAAACCAACCTAAGAGGAAAGCATTTTGAGTTTAAAAAAAGCAACAGTGTTACACTACTTATTTCAGATTTGTACAGGCACTAAATTCTAATTTAACTCCATGTTATATAAATTAACTTCCATACAAATCTCAAACTTCTTATGGCACACTGCTGCTTAGATTTGCAATAAGAAAGTCCCACCATAAAAATCCACCAATCTAGCAACTATTTCTATGCTACCGTTTTTTTATCTATCTACCGGGGATACTGAAACTGCCAAAAGGGAATACTGAAACTGCTGGTTTTTCCCACACCCAATGGTACTGTGTACCTTAGTGCTGTCTTCATACAGAGTTTGATTACTGCTTGACAGACCAGTGTCAATTCCAGAGTCTTTTATAGGCACTTCAGACCATCTGTGATCATTCCGATCATTCCTCATGTGACCTTGGCCTAATTGACCTTCACCTTGACCTAAACGGCCTTGAGACCGACCTCGACTGCTCAAGGTCACCCCTTTCTTTTGCATAGCATGTGAATCTGGGTACGGATGGGTTTCTAGTTCCCCTAAAATGAAAGTGAATAATCAAAAGAATAGGACAGAAAGCTTATAGGTGGAACAAAAAAAAAAAAAAAACATAACTATGACAAAGAATGTGCATCGCTGGGAAGTTTTGGCACCTGGCCAACATACAGGGTGCAGAAAAAAAATTCTCGTCAAAAGAAACTTTGTCTCCTGAAGTGGAAATTACTTTTGACTCCCTCCATAAATCTGACAATTCCCTCCTCTTTTGGGTATGTGACCTGGGATATACATTTCTTTTTATTGAAATGAATGTTGTTTTTGATGCATCCATTTTTTAGAAGGAAAAGTGGTTGCATGGTTGGAATTATTATAACAAAAATGATTCATGCATAGCTGGAAGCAATAGAGGGATCACGCAGAGGATTCATGCTACTACAAATATCGTTTTTCTGATAAATATAGCATATCCCTACAACCCCCAAATAAAAAAATAAATAAATAGTGCTCTTCTTGAGCATGAGTATATTAATTGCGAAAATGTGAGTCACGTCAATGTGACCTAGGTATTGGAAGTGATAAACAGATTCTAATTTCCTGTCAAGCTCATTTGTGAGAGCTCTCACTAATGAAAGGTCAGTTACTGGCTTAACCTACATATTATAAATTCTTTATCATAGTTCTATATCCAATGACTACTAACATGTGGTATAAAATTGGCCAAATAAAGTTTAGAAATTGGACAAAACTGTAATTATATTTGGTCTTATACTTCTTCATTTTAGTAGTATTTGTTCTGAGTTATGTACTTGTTTTTTATTCGTATTATGAGAAAAAAGTCAGCATATAGTACTATTGTATTTTATGTCACCAATATTTTTTGGCGTTCAGTAGATGGCATCCCACAAATCATTGCTCAAAATGGACTGTTATATATCCCAAGAAACACATGCCCAAATGGGGATTTGTGGTCTGGTATAACAACAACAGTAATAGATCTGTTCTAGCTGTAACATCTAAAACTACACCTACAGATGGTTATACTTTGGGTACCAACACTTTGCAGCAGACAGTAGACGCATTAAATGCCACAGGGAGGAAATTTCTTTCTGTTATTTCTAATGTTAGATCCATTGCAGGACATTACTTCTAATATCCAAATAAAATCAGATATCACAAATTGTATGACCATTTTTAAAATATGTTTTTGTTTGTTTGCTTTTATAGAGAATGAGAGCAACGACATAAGAGACAGAAATGAAAGGCCAAAATAGGTAAAACTAGAAGTGCTGAAAATCTTAAAAGAATTTAACTGAGCCACGCTGAATTGGGCAGGACAAGAAAAAGATTAGATAGTCTTCCTGCAGTAAGAAGTTTAATTCACATCTGCTACAATAATGGTTAATGACCCAATTTTTTTACAAAGATATACCATCTGTAAATGTAGCTTTATACACTAAAAATGCACAAATTCCTGCTACTAAACATAAGGGAGGAAATGAAAACCAAACAAATAAAACAAGCATTCCATTCATTAACAACTCTGCAATCCGTCCCTGAGGGTTGTTTGATGTGTAACCCCTTCTCACCGCTAAAAACTTTTTAATTTTTGCTTCGAGCATTTCGTTGTGTTTCCAGTTGTCATCGTATCGGTCATACTCCCCGCCCATATGCGGCAGGTAAGGCTCTAAATACAAATTAATCTTTATATGTATAAACTGTAAACAAGTAGCATTCTGTGATATCTTAATTTTAAGTAATAGGTACAACCATGATGAATGTTTACAACATAAAAAGAAATACGGATGGAGGATATTGCATTTAAATGGGAGATAATCCATACATCACGTATGTAACTAATTTTTTTTATTCTCAACATCTCCATGGTATAACAACTGTACCATATCTATATAACATATATATATATATGTATAACAGATATGTAACTGTCCTTTCAAACAAACATTCTTTAAAATAATCTAGACTATTGTAATATTAATAATCTATTTTCTAAATAATACACTGTAACGTTGACGAAAAAGTGTCGGAAGCATTGAATCCCATTCATAAATTTTAAGTCAAATCATTTCACTGTAGTTTTCAGAAACTTTTCAGTTAAGACAAATCATCCTGGAACAAATGGACAAAAAGTGTAGAAAAAAAAAACACACACAAGACATTCACAATCAAGTCTCGTATCAGTATCTTGAATATTCTTAAGAATGACCAGAAAACATCTACGTTGACCACATCACACACTACAAACACATAAATGTAGTTAACTGTTACCCCTACTCCTTTTAATTAATACTTCACGCAATATTATTTGTCAAATATGACATGTTCATGATCACATCAATAAGAAACTGTAGATGATGTGATCTTCTCATAACCATGCACATGTCTTTTACGAGGGGATGGGTAGGAGGGTCGGAGAGAACCTCTATTTCGGTCAAAAAAGGTCCTCTCTGGATCCAAATTTAACGTAAGTTCATTGTGTGATTTTAAGGCACACTAGAGTTTCTGTCCTATTTTCATTTATTTATTTATTTATTTATTTATTTATTTATTTCTTGATGGGGTCAACTGATCAATGGCCATGTCCATGGTTACTTCATTAGGACCCCATTCCCACAAACACCATATAGGTCTGCGTAGATTGATCCAACTCTGTGGGAACTCCTGCTGAGTGCAATCTACACTGATCAATGGCGTCTATGGGAATAGGGCCTTAGATTATTTCCATTTGAAGTTTAATTAGCACACTGACTGTAATTGGAATCTAAGTGTTATCTAACATACAGATATTTCACTGATCAGCTGTTCTAATTTTCCACCAACCCATCGTCATATCAATCAAATACTTCAATATGCTATCAATATGAAACATTAATAAATTAACCAATAAATCATCAAAGCAACCAATCGACCATCCAACCAACAAATCAATTAATCCACCAACAAATCAATTAGTCAACCAACAAATCAATCAATCTACCAACAAATCAATCAGTCAACCAACAAACCAATCAGTCAACCAACAAATCAATCAATGCACCAACAAATCGATCAATGCACCAACAAATCAATCAATCCACCAACAAATCATTCAATCCACAAACAAACCAATCAATCCACCAACAAATCAATCAGTCAACCAACAAATCAATCAATCCACCAACAAATCAATCTATCAATTAATCCACCAACAAATCAATCAGTCAACCAACAAATCAATCAAACAATTAATCCATCAAACAATCAATAAATCATCAGATCAATCAACCAAAAAAAAATTTATAATTCAACCATTTTTATAATAAAATCATATTGTATTTTCCTGTTTTCAGCTATCAATTGAAGCCTTTCATTTTTTGTAGATACTTTCTCAAAAATATTCTAATCCTTCAATATTTGCATGAAGGCAATCAATCATCATCACCCAAAAAATTGAAAATTTTGTTTAGATTTCCACATTGTGAAGGATAGTCAAGGATTTTTTCAGGAGCAGGTTAGAAAACAATTTCATCAAATAGCCACCAAAAAAGTAAAATTCTCATGTCATGTTAATTTACCCAACTTTGTATGCAAAAAAAAAAAAAAAAAAAAAAAAAAAAAAAAAAAAAAAAATTAAAACATGAAATATTCCACATCCAGTTAGGAGCCCTTTAATGAATTATTAAAAAATGTGACAAAACATCCTGTGTAAAACAATGAAGCGAGGACACTGACGTGGGTGTTCTTCCTTTTCACAAACATCCTGTGACGCATGTTTTGTCTACGAACCGACATATGCAGGTTTGGAGACATTATCAAATGCTGGTATATAATAGGTAGATAGACATATATTACTAGTATATACATACAGCTGTTTGTTGTGTGGTGGTATTAATATGGAGAGAGGGGACATTGAGAGAAAGAGAGAGAGAAAGAAAGAAGAGAGAGAGAAGAAAAAGAAGGAGAGACAGACAGAAAGAGAAAGAGAGAGAAAGAAGAAGAGAGAGAGAGGGGGAAGGATAGAATAAGAAAGGAGGAATAGAGAGAGGGGAAATGAACAGGAGAGAGAGACAGAGAGAGAGAGAGGGACTGACAGCATGCATCAAGTTCTATTCAAGATTCCACTGATGCTGATATTATAATTATTTGTGGTACAATAAATGCTGCTCATGAAGCTTTTACAGACAGTAATCATTCACATCAATAATTCCATTCTTTATGAAAAGGCAAAATATACAAATTTCCTGTATAACATACATATTGATGAAATATATGCAAATTTAATAAATTCATAACACAGTAAAACTCAGTGCGAGTCAGTGCGAGCGCACCAATCAATGTTAATGATTATCATAAAGATCAATACAGCAGCATGCATATTGTGACCAAATGCATGTTTTCTTGCATGATCATGCCTGATCGATACGTGCCTAAACGTGGGAGGATGCCGTGATTAGTATGGTGTAGTGTGGAATAAAAATCACTAGCTACAGGCAAGCCTGAGGCACTCTCCAATGGCTGCCATTCCCATATTCAACAGTCAACAGGTTATGAAAACATTTCTTCGATACTTAAGGTCAGCTTATTTGATCGAAACAACAGTTTGTTTTACACTACACTTCACTGCTATCAATTTCCAATACTGTGACCTTCTTAAAATATCCCAAATTACATCCTCTGCTTGCACATGAACTATATACTTCAGTATCGAAAATTAATAACCATATCCGTCTCGATTCTTTTTTGACCCACAGTTGTATTACAAGTGTCTCCTAAAGGTTTCAGTGGCACTGTTTGTTCAATTTCTTTCCAAGACAAACACTTATCAAGCTTTCCAAGCAACCACAAACAAAGTTCAGTTAAGCCAAAGTGGTTACATTTAGAATATGTCTTATAAGTATTTTGTTCAAGCCAAAGAATCCTAATAATAAAAAACAAAGTATTTGTGGCTACAGTGGCATATTTTTGTTTATTTTTGTTTGTGTAAAAAGGTAATGTTTTCATCAGAGTACTAGTAATCATATTTTAGTAAAAATCATCAAATACTTGTTAAAGAAAGAAAAAAAAAGAACCAACAAACAAAAACAGAAAATGTTCTTCTGACAATGCAAATTATCTCATTAACCCCAATTAGCCACATTTGACAAAAGGTTATATTCAAGTATAAGTTAATAATCTCAATTGTAGCATAGGGAGAGAAAAAAGAATAATGTAACTAGTTTACAGAAGTCTTTAAACCAACTCATCTATTAAAATCTTCATCTATTGCCAAGTATACCTTTCAAACTCTAAATGCTCAAGGAAAAGCAAATCCATAACTGAAGACTCTGGCAGGCTATTATGACAGAAGTTCCAGCTTCTAAACTGTCTCTAAAAATATGTCCAGAAATATTTGTACAGGAACAATTTCCAGGATCCTTAAAGCCCATGCAAACACTTCTGGAAAACCCTGCAGGTGGCAGGTCTAAAAAAGACACCGTCTACGTCAAATATCTACACAATATAAACATCAATCTTTAATATTTTATGTAATCAGCTGATGGGCGCGTGCTAATGAAATGAAAAGCCCGTGACTGGGGTTCTCACATTCTTGCTGAATAATAGAACATAGTTTGGTTGAGTATTAGATTATCAGCCACACATTTAAATACCAGCAGAATTTCTTCAAACTGTTATGTTTTGTCATAGATGATGTTCTTACTGCAAAGTTAAAATATACATTTAAAAAAAAATCTCTTATTTTATAATTATTATTATATATATATATATATATATATATATTTTTTTTTTTTTTTTTTTTGAAAATTTACCTCACTACCCAATCTTTTCTCTTATCTGCAGATGCATGCTGGTAATTAAAAAATTGTTTCTTTTTTTTTTTTTTTTGGGGGGGGGGCTCAAGTTTCATCAATTAATATTTTGAATTAAGACAGAGATTGAAAAAATTATAGATGTCTTTTTTGGCTCAAGTTGTATGCAAAATAAATGATATTAACAATTATTTGTGGAAACATGTTCATTACACTGGTTTCCTTTCACCCCATTTTTAGAGCAGCTCATAGGTGTATACATCATAATATTCTCAATGGTTTTGAATACGGTAAAAAGCTTTTAGAGATAAAGGGAAAACTGCTGAAATTTCCAGGAAAATTATTTTATCTTTATATTTTTCCTACACATAAAGAAAACATATACCGTAAGGCCAATTTTCATCTTAGTTCTAATGGGAATGCCTAAGGGGTATACATTATCCCACTCAATGTATTATTCTTCCACAATATGACACCACCATCTTTAAGTGATCTTAGATTAAGGCATCTTAATCTGATCTTAGATTAGGGTATACTTCTTTGTAGAAATATTATCAATTAATAGTTTTAACTCTGAACTATTAATTATTTTATCAAGAAAGTATTAATTAGAAAAAAGGGTTATAATTTTGTCAACGATTGTGGATGGTTTGTACTTTCCAGTTTAAGACTGACTTCAGGGAAAAATATTGAAATTTTCTGAATCCATCAAATTATTACTTGGTGTTCTAAGCCTGAATGCTCATCCTGTGCTTTGAAGCTCTTTATTAGTGATACAGAACCCAGAGGTATATATCAGCCTACCCAATTAGGGACCTCACAGAGAGTTAAAAGATGAATGAAGCTAATCATGTAAAACATACTGTAACATTAAGTACATATTTGGATTCTAAATGTTTGCCAAATGAAATATAATATACCACCTGATGCTGGTCTGAAGGCTCTAAAATTAGGTCCAGCTCCTAGTGAAAAATTTATCTCCATCCCAACATCTAATGGAGGCAAATAAGTAACTTTCAGAAGGTGCCCATGCAAGAGTAAGGTGGTTTAACATTAAATTTTTAAGGTACCCTATCTGGGATTTTATAGCTAAATCTACTTTTCCTTAATAAAAAAAATCCTCTTACTCAAGAACTATTCCACAATCCATCCCTGAACTCGGATTTGAGCTTTTATACAATTTCTTATTAAATAATTTACAGGACTTTCCAAGTCCCTAGCTGAATATTTGGACCTTCATGCTTCCTAGTACATTTCAAAGGAAATATCAACATCAGGACCCTTTATTTGAGAAGTTTTTTTTGTTTTAAAGGTCCGAATAGGGAAAAAAGTTGCTTTGCATGATATCTTTTATTTCACTTTTTTTCCTTTTTTTTTTTTTTTTTTTTTTTTTGTTTTCTGGATGTAAAAAATATCTGTCAAGAATTTGATAAAATAATAACCTATGATCTTAATACCCAAAACTGAGTGAATGGATTCTGAATAGCTCATCATGCCTAATTTTCCCTTGTTTCCCTAATTTTTACTTGACATAAGTCAATAACTTAACAAATCTTCACTTTGGCACAAAAATATCTAGTACTTTAAGCCTCTATCATAATGGAGTCATTCACAGCTGTCTATATTATTATGGCTGACATTACCTAATCCAAGTTCATGGCAACATATAAACAACCACCACCCTTGATGACTTCGTTGTTGTCACAGCTGCTTTGCGCCCACGCTACTGTTATTACTGTATAAAAGCCATTAGTTAGTCAGTTCACCTCGTATGATGTCTAACAGACAATTTCACAATGGCTCTTTTACCTGAAACTTTGAGACCAAAATTTTGGTGTACTTAGTTTAAAGATGATAAAGTTTATAGTAGTCCACTTAAATTAAGGCAATTTAGCCTATTTTGGATTAAACTTTTGGTCACTAAAGCTTAACTCAAGTTAAAGATAAATTTATAGTGGTCTGTTTAAATAAAGTAATTTAAAGCATTGGTTTGAATTGGGCAAATTAAAAAAATGCTTTGCACGATATCTTTCATTTTTTTCCTGTTTGCTGGCCATAGACTTAGAGACTGAAATTATTATAGCAGTTCATTTTTATTGGACTAATATATGTGTGTTGATTACTCGACCTTTTCAATGGGCAAAAATCATTAAACTTGCAGATAGCATTACATAATTTTATAACCAAAATAAAAAAAAATTCTGTTGTGGTGCTTTGACTGCATAGAATAGAACTAAAGAAAAGCCTGTAAAATCCAACTTTTTAAGTTGCAAATAAATACATATTATTATTAAATACATATTATTATTTTATTATTATTATTATTATTATTATTAACTTTGTTGCTGTCACTCAATAGGAAAATTCTAATTTTGAGAAGTTGTGACAAAAAGAAAAAAAAACAGAATCTGTAAAATTCACAATTTTCCCCACTGAAAAGATCAAAGAGTGTTTTAAATTTTTGATTAGTATTTTAGACTATTTTGATGGAAATTAAGTGGTAGAATATAGGAATATAATTATGTCCAGACATTTTGGGAGCTGAAGTTTTTTGACAAACAGGCTCCAAGTGCTTAAAGAGCATAGCATCATTATCTGATGCTACCTGTTGCTTTGTACTTAATTGCACCTATATTTTGAAATAAATTTTGTCACTTCTGCCAAACATACAATACTTTAACCAATCACATGTACCACAAACACAGCAAACACAATCGCATTAATATAATCTCAACTGACACAACTTATACTTCCACACATATGTACCACAATCGCAACTTTATCATACCTCACACAACCACCCCTTACATTATCATACCAAACACAACCACACCTTAAATTATCATACCTTACACAAAAAAAAACCCTATATTATCGCACCTAACACAACCATACCTTAAATAATCACAATCTAACATTATAACTTATTTCATCTAACCTTACTCGATCATATCCTTTAATTTCAACCAACACAATCACATTTAACTTACCTACTCCCTTCTCACTGATGCTCTCGCTCTCCAAGTCTTGATCATCACAGCTGGTATATTCCGGTGTGGAGCGAATCTCATCGTCAGAACTACTGAACGAAGGCTGCTGAACAGGCTGCTTTGATTTCCCTTTTTTATGTTTATGTGGTCTCGGCGGTGGTGGGCGCACACAGTCTGAGGGATCTGAACTCAGAGAATCGTTTCGTAACATAGTCTCCATTTTCCGCCTGTTATTTTTGGAATTTCTATTTGCTGCGGAGCTAGGATCTAAGTGAGTTTGCGACATGCGACGGGAATCTCCTGATCTGGCATCTAAATCTGAGATTTCTTCCCGCCCACTTGCACCACCACGTCTGTCCCTCATGGAGTCCATTACTTCCTCTCTTGGTGATACAGGAGAAGTTCCCACCACCATGCGCTCGTGACGGGGCGATTGTGGTGGCTTGGCAGTTATGTGAACATCAGGCTGCAAAGGTTGCTGAGCTGTTCGAGCTAATTCCCGCTCGCGCTCACTCCCCAAAGGCTTCTGCATTTGATCGCCAGGCATTCCACGTTCTCGCACACTTCGTGATGAGTGATCTGATCTGCGACTCGTAGAAGAGTCTTGTCGTATGAGTTGCTCGTGATCGTGAGGTTCATGTATTTCTCTGTGCCTGTCCATGGTTCCGTCTCTACGGCGATCTTCTCCCATGTCCCTTTTTCTGTCCATAGCTATAGTCTCACGGCCGCCATCTTGGTAGTCTCTCATGTCTTTAGTGCCATCTGGTGGATGGACCACACCTTCTCTCCTGCAGGAAAAAATATGAATTATTAGTAAATTATAATATCATATATTACAAATTATAATTTTGAATTACTGAAAATGTCCAAAAACAAATAAATTCATATCCTCTTGGTTGCTATTTCAATAGTCACTCATATCTTTCATGTCATCTGATATTAAAGACAAAAACACCCACACACCCGCCTAGCTTCCAACTCATTAGTCATCTCAAACATGAAACTTTCACCTAGAAAAGGTTGTGCTGTCTGTTTAACCCCAGGAAAACAGAGGTTTATCATGTCAATAAGGTTGAAGATAAAGAATCTATGCATGTTTTCCAAATAGCAGAAAAAATTGTTTTGCAATCAGCATGAATAGTAGATATAAACAAACATCTACATGTTTCAATATGCCCCCTCACTATGAAACAGATCTGATGACAAACATCAACCCCTATCGCTTAGATACTTTCAAACTTTTTAATCATCTACAAGCAGCCTACAGCACAAATAACAGTGTGAGGTCGGTAATATGCTTGCCCCTATCCAGAGTCTAGTTTCAGGATAAAATCAATTTGTTGTGAATGACTTGTTTTTGTGAGTTTTTGTATTATTATCAATTATTTATTTCAAAATCTTTCTGACATTAAAAGGGCCTATTCCAGCAAAGAATATGCATTTTCTTACAGTGAATGAGAGGAAAAATAAAATACATGATGCTTCAGAATTTTTTTCACAATATTAATAATACTTATAAATTATATAACTAAGAAAATGATTTTTCAAAATCATACAAACTAGAAGGTTTAAGTAATACAAGGAAATAGGTGAAGATAAAAACAGATTAAAATATAAGTGGCTTAAATGTATCAAGAAAAATTCCATTTCCTTTAATTACCTATGACAAGGAGGTTATGTTTTCACCCCTGTTTGTCTGTTTGTTTGTCATCAACATAACTCAAATAGTTATCGACCGATTTCGATGAAATTTTCAGGGACTTTTAGAAGTGGGCAAAGGAAGAGATGATTAGTTTTTGGTGGTGATCTGGATCAATAAACAATCAATAATCAGTAATAATCAAAAATGGCTGCCTTGGCAGAGGTCTGCACTCTCAGAGTGCTTATCTAGTTACCGTATGTTATAAAGGCTGCAACAACAAGTGCGCTAAAAGGGGCGGAATTAAAGTTTGAATGGAAAACGATATGAAATTTGTTTACAATTTGGGCTTGCAGAGAAAAAGTATTTTAAAATTCTTACCGATGCCTCTTCTGCACCATTTCTTTATCTGCATAGCGATCAGGAGGAGACTCGCGTCGCCTATCACCATGAAAATGATCTGCATTCAGATCACGCTGCTGTTGCTGCTGCTGTTGCATATGGGCCTCTCTCATTTCCTGTTCACGAACTCTCGCTGGAGAAGGAGATCGACGGCGCAATTCTTGATCACTAGGAGGAATCACATCTCGCGGGGATAGCTCCCCTCTTCGACCACGTGGCGACCGAGACCGTCCCGGTGGGGGGAGATCTTTTTGGCGTGGGTCTCCGTCAGGATGCATGCGCCCCCTATCCATCCTGGGGTCTTGGTCAGGTCTGAGGTGGGAATCATGATCAGGTCGCATACGATCCAGCTCAGCTGGAGATGGCCGTCTTCCGTCTGAAGAACGCCTCTCAACAGAAGGGTCTCGTGACCTTGACCCTGGTGGATGCAGTGTGCCGTGTCCGTCATGCATTGGGTCCTGCCCGTTGGCTCCCCGCCGTCTGCCGTGTATATGCATGCCTTCAAGGTGCCTGTCGTCAGGTGGCAGGCTACGAGTACGGGCCTGATCAGGTGGCAGCTGCTCTAAAGGCCGCCCTCTGGCCCGCCCTCTCTCACTCATCCTATCGTCATGACCACCGGGTGACCTATCATAATGTCCTTGTTCTTTACCGCCATCTTGGATTTTTCCTACCTCTGACATTGAATACTGGCGTTTGAGTTCTCTACTACCACGGAGACTCCCAGATCTAGACATTTGCATTCTGGGATCATCTGGTCTACGAACAATGTTCTCCTTTTCAGATCCCTGTCCACTGCTATCTGACTGACCTTGACCCTGACCCCTAGGTCCTCCTGAGACTCGTGCTCTCCTGTCCGATGTAGGACTAATATCAGTCTTTGTGGAAGCCGTTTCGCTTCCTGAGCCGACCTCGATGTCCAGGGCCACTGGGCGTGCTTGACCGCCATGATACCACTGGCCTGTCTTGGCGAGTATTTCCTGCTTCTTTTTACACAGCTGGCACGCCCACACAACCTGAGGATGAGATGAAAAAGTTTCACATCAAATGGTCTCTTTAGACATTATTACTGGCATGGGGGACAAAAGTAGGCAGTTTCTAAACGTGTTAAATTTCCACATGCAAAAAGAATATCAAGGTAAAGCATGCTTTTATGTGAAAATAAATATGAACTCAAATGTATTATCACATATCAAGAAATCCAAATATCTGTGACATAATAATAATAATAATAATAATAATAATAATAATAATAATAATAATAATAATAATAGTTTCAATGAACCAATATGAAAATGCATTATGCGATTCATTTGAGAGTCACTTTTTTAAGCAAAGGGGATTTTGGGACAATAAGCAATCTGCCCCCAAAAATATGAAGACAAAACCCTCCTGGCAAAGTTTATGAAACAGAGTGAGATAAATTTGAGAAGAAACCACTATAAATATTATCTTTAGGGACAGTTAAATTCTACATATTGTGGGCTCTGGCATGATATCAAAGGCCTTTTTTTTTTTTTTTTTGTTTTGTTTTTTGTTTTGTTTTTTGTTTTTTTTGACGAAAATTTATTTGAACACCTAGATAAAATTTTACCTACAGGGGACCTTTTCCTAGCAAAAAAAAAGGGGGGGGGGGGCATTTCGAACTCCTAAAACCCCTCCTGGCTACAGGCCTGACAACTGTAAGTAGACTGAAGGAGTTCTAAACTTGTGAGCAATTACCATACCAGTAATTGTCTTGGCCTAAACATGGAAACAACTGCTAGTTACAGAACTGCCATTCTTTTCACATTCCCCAGATATATGTTCACATTATGTCTACCATGTTCTCTTGTAGCCTGTGAGAAAGCCATAAAACCTGCGCAATCATATTACCATTCACCATCTGTACAGACAGAGCCGCTGATAATGATATTTTGTGATTACGTATTTCCACTCGATACATAACGGGAGTAGCTATTGCATGCAATATGTCAACTCTTTTGGGTTGGCCTTCAGAATTCAGAACAGAGCCAAGCTGAGGAAGGCTGTCCTTTGCCGTGGTATATCTAGGGTGCGGCCAGTAGGGCGCTGTGCCCTGGTTGCCACCAAAAAGGGGGAGCCACTTGAAAGGAGGTGGTACTGAGAGTTTTTTCAGAACAATTTGTGTATCAATGAAAGAAAAAAGCTAGGTGCAATAGCATTTTCCACCTACTGACATAAGTTGTGAATTCAAAATAATGTAATTGGTCTATATTTTTGCACTAAACAGTCTGGGCAAATAGTAGAATATTTTTTCAAATTATCAGATGGATAGATGGGAGAGAGAGAGAGAGAGAGCGAGAGTGACCAAATAGTAGAATAATTTTACCAAATTATTAGATGGATAGAAAAGAGAAAGAGAGAGAGAGAGAGAGAATGACAATTTTACATGGCTGACTACCCCTAATTCATGTGATCCATAGTACAACAATAGCAGCAAGGAATTCAGAGATCCATACCATGACCATATAACGATGACTGGGAATTACAAAGACACCTGCTGCAATACACGTATCAAATTGATTTTTCCGCAGTCAGGGTGGAAACATTTAGAAAAGAGTCCCCAGGGGTGGAAAGAAGAGAATTATACAAGTTTGATGAAGAGATCGAGGTACATTGTAGATCATCTTGGGTAGTTGCCAGGGTTGCATTTAATTAAGGCCCTTTTCACAAACAACAGTTGGTGGTCTTCTGCGCTGCTCTAGTTTGAGCGATTGATTACGTAAGAGAGTCACCTAATCGCACTTTGCATCAAAGCTACTGCCAGTGAAGTGGATTTTGATTGGTGCATTAGGGTTTGTGAAAGGGAGGAAAAAATGAATCAAAAACTTGATCAAAATTCATTTAAGGGGAGCACTTTGTGTGAAAAACAAGACCCTATGAACTTAAAGATAAAATAACACCAACAAAATATTCAATTTACATTTCCTCATTTTCTTAGAATTGAGTGAAGGATTTCAGGATGTTTTGATCAGAAAAAAAATAGCATCCATTGGTTTCTTGTTTGTCTTTTGAGCAGACGTCAGATAATATACTTAAGAAGGATGAAAGATAATAAACCCATCCTCCTAGTTTAAGTCTTTTTATGTTAGCTTTATACTTCTCTATGTGGTGTAAGAAATCAGATCTGTCTCCTGACGCAACACAAAAGGGCAGAAAAATTAACCATAATTCATCCAATTACCTAAGAGAAAATTTCATAATCGAGAAAAATTACAGACCGAAAGTTGGATAACAAGTTATCAATAAGGCAAAACCACATGACAATTACATAAATAAATAAATAATTGGACCCACATTTGGAGTGCAAAATACCTTGAGTTCTAGGTATAACAGGAAACTCTCTTAATTATCAGAGCATCTCCAACTCTAAAGTATCGTGTATTGCGACCGAGCTCAAGCGTCTCGAATCCATAACTCGCCCATACTTGCCCCATATCATCTATTGTAGCCTCTATGTGATATCGCTATTCACAATTTGTGATGTCTTCGAGTAACGGGGCCCTGGTGTTTCAAATAAACTGTGAAAACCAGAGTGTTTAAGCAGCAAGTTGATTTCCTGTAGGGCTTATTCCCATTGAATCTATCAGTCTACTTAGAATGATCCAACTCCATGCAGGGGCAGATCCAGAGATATTTTCTGACAGTCTTCCAAATTATCTTTGTGGATCCATCTTCCATTTTTGACTGTCTTCCGACAGAAAAAGATAGATACCCGTCAATGTAAACTTGAAAATCTGACCGTCTTCTGGAAGACCCAGAAGACGGCCTAAATTGGCCCCTGCCATGGGTGCTCTTGCTGAATGCATTTAGATTAAGAGATTTAAATGCCTCCTTTTGGCATTGAATGGAATATAGAAAAGCTGGTGATTCTATGAGTACGTTGGAAACAAAAGGAGGTGTGTCATTCAGTTATAATTATAAGCCGATTTCACTTAGTGAGAGTCCCCGATCAGTCGGGTCTATAGGGTCTAGTAAAACCTGAGTCATGCTAATAATAAAGAATGTATTATAATGCATACTTATGCCATGTGCCAATGGGGGTAGGGGCGCACAAGATCAAAACTGTATGTCCTTAATTGTTTAATTTATAAAGGCCATTTGAAACATAAAGCAGACAAAGTTCACTTCAGGTAAATTAATCATACAGAAGAGCAGGGGATATGGATAGATAAAAAATGTGTTGGTTTGGTCTTACTCAGTTGCCGATCTGATTCTCTCTAGCCTTTTCATTTTCAAATCTCCACATCAATAAGACGCTAACATCGTATTCCATAAAAGAAGAAACATGGAAATTTGCCAACGAAGAAGCTGTCATTCAACTTCGGGTACTCAGAATTTGTGAATGAATCCAAATATATATATTTATATATTGCCTTTTATCAGCTGCACCGGTTTTCTCTCTCACTATAACAGATCAATGGAACTCACAGCCACTTCAATTAATACACATATATTCACAGAGCTCTCAATGGGACAACTTTCTATATTGATTTCATATTGACCTCCTCTCTCACCTTCATAGCTATCCATGCTGGGGGCTCCCTATGACCAGAAAAGGGTTCCCAATACTGTATAAGCAGCTCTTGGTATTGATTTAACATTGATCTAACCTTTCCTGTGTTATTTATCCACAACATGGGATCTAACTGATTGTTGATGTGGCCCCAGGCCTGTATAGTTATAAGCCTCCACTCCTATCTTTTAATGGCTATCCCCAACTATGGACAAATTTCATCAACATTAGCCCTAAAGCATATAAGAGGCAATCAAGCGTAGCAATATATGTCACTTTACCAAAATTTTGCCACATTTATTGAGCGTAACTGTGCCTAAATGTGAACTTTTCATTGACCGTGCTAAAAATATGTCCACTTCATTGAGTAACTATGCCAAAAGCTGTGTATCTTTCACAGAATGTAGGAAAACCATGTCCCATTCATTGAGTTATACAGTGCCAAAAATGAGCCTTTCACTTCTTGTACCAAAAATAAATATGCCCCATTCACCAAGATACAGTGCCAAAAAAAGTAAGCGAGCCTGAGTGAACCAAAAATATGTCTTATCATGGAGTAATTTTGCCAAAAAAGTGAGCCTTTCATTAGGTGTACCAAAAATATGCCCCATACATTTACTATTTTGGTTTTGCATTGTAAATCGTGATCCTTTCATACTGACATTAAACTAAAGTTATTAGTAAAATTCATTTCACTGAATTATATACTGTCCAAAAAACATCCCCTATAATGAGATATCAAAGAGCAAATGTGTCCCTTTCAATTGAATTTTAATTGAAGTACTATGTCGATCCCTTACATTGAAGTATTGTACCAAAAATAGCCTTTCGCTGGATTCTTGTACCAAAAACATGTCCATTTCAATGGTTTATTGTACCAAGAATTATGTCCCTACCAAAAATAAACCATTGTAGAACTAAATTTTACATTAGTGCAACAGTGTGATAATACAAGCGCATTCATATCATTTCCTTAAAATATATAACAAAGAATATCCCCATTAGGAAGAGCATGACCTTATACAAATTACATATATACCTTTTATAAGGCCCATAAGACTACACCTGTGCCATTTGGGTGTATAATCAATACTTCACTGTTATTGATCAAGTGTTTCTCTCTAATATTGTAAAGATCCATGTACAGGTGCCCCTTTCAAGCCCCACAGGGGCTGGACTGTGGATTACGCATATCCAATGTTCCTAATGGATGATACATGTAAATGGGGCGAGGGATGGGAAAATATTGAAGATGTTGCAGGCAAGAGGTGGCAGTGTATCAGTTCAATATCGCATGCACTAAGAGCATGGACGACATAGGGCAGGTTTAGCTTAAAGGTCAATGTCCTTCCCCGTCTTTTCAGCCAGTCTGGTTGCTGTCAGCGCATAGAGATTACGAGTACTTTAACTGTGCACGGAATATAAATGTCATTCACAGACTGTAATGTAAGAAACACCTTCAACCCTTCATTGAAGAACTATGACCACAAGTGGGTAGGGAATACCCCTCCTTAATCACCAATTACGAAGATTAAAACAGCTCAATCACCAATCACCAAGATATATACAGGCCAATCACCAGTCACCAAGAATTCCTGAATCACGTTTCATGCAGAATATTGGGCGAAATAACGCATCACGCTCTAAAAATAAGGCCAATGAAACAGAACGCAATAGGTTTTCCCTACTCTTTTCACATGACTGACTCATCGATATATATCGCTTTCGATAAAACTGTCCACAGCCAAATGACTAATTTCATTTCATCTCATAGTGTTCACACAGAAAGTTTTTACTCTACCATCATAAAAAATATCCTTTTTTCCTGCCATAATACGTTGGAGTTCACTAAGCAAATGATGTCTTAAATGTGGGTCTCTGTTAGGACAAACCAATGACAACATGGCAGCCATCTTGATGACGACAGTACTAGTACGTGAAAATCAAGGTCGCTGATGACATTTCTGAGGGTAGCTTATAACCAGGCTCACATACTTTTATCTATTTATTCATAACAACCAGCATGTCATGTTTTCACCAGTGTTGGATGTGTATATGTGAGTGGAAAGGATATTTTGTTGAAATATTCAGGACTGATACAGTTACATGTCTTGCTGAGGAGAGAAAATGGATTCAATTCCAACATATCCAGCTCCATTTGAACATTTTTTCTTTTAATAATTTTCCACTGCTTTTATTCTTGGTGGAGGTCTTCACTTTTGGAGTGCTCTCGAATATATTATTACTATAACTATTTTTTATTGTATGATGAAATAGGTTTTTCATTATTATTATTATTATAATTATCATTAACAGTAATATTATTATACATAATCAAATAAAATGGCCTTTTTCACATCACAAGGTACTCTTTTCTGATTCACATCTTTCTAAATTGTCCGGTCCCAGCATGCAAGTGGGCTGGCCATATTAATTTAACCCCCAGCTCTCTTAGTCCGTTCTGAATGTCTCTCTCACGTGTAAAAGGCTAAAAAAAGTGCCTAACTCTCAAAAAGGTGCAAAACCAAAAAAGGGTACTACAAGATGTGAAAAGGGATGAAATCTACATGTACCAACCCAGCTTATTTGCGACTCTAAAACTGCTACCTGACAGGTATGGCATGCATTAACAATACTGAAATTTTTTTATTTTAGGCAAATAGGCAAAATTATACAGCAACAAATTTTCACCCTGAAACCACATCATTTTTTTCATTAGAATAGCACACAGAAAAAGCAGGAAGTAAGCCATTTTTACATTTAATTGGAAAGTCATTTCAAACTTTTTACTTCAGAAGGATTCTTAAATCATGGCTAGAGTCTTAAAGCAACAGTTTCTCACCCATGTATTATTTGCCTGGATCGATACTTGTGGCAGGCATTTCCTACCTTCTTAAGGAGAAGATCAAGTGCAGTATATTCTCACCCATTTTATTTATCGGAACTGTCTATTACACATAAAAAGCAGGTAGAAAGCCACCAATATACATTACCACAGGACTTCTTGCCTTGTTCTGTTTAAGCTGCAGTTTACCACCGCAGCGAGCACACGAGCGAAGATTGCAGTAGTTGCACCGGTGTCCCAGGCCATCAGCGAATTTGGTCTTGTGGCAGATCTGGCAGACAGCACCCTGGTTCCCTCCGCCTCCGCTGTTATTTGCTGGCTGCTTGCTTAGCTCCTCGTTAAGTTTGACGACTGATTTTTGATAACTATCCAGGTCATCTTGGAGATTTCTAAAAATAAGATGATTGCTTGTAAGTTAAATTTGTCTTAATTAACATGCAACTATTTTCCTAATTATTTGTTTAATTTAGTTTTTTTTTTTTGGGGGGGGGGGGGGAAGAGGAAGGCTGTGAAGGCTCTGAAATTCAGGCTGACAGTGAGCAAGTACAGTAGAGGAAAGTTTTTGATAGTACTCTCACACTCAGGATGACAGAGGAGAGGCACTGTCAGTGCTGTGAAACTAAGGGTGATGGCCAGCAAATTGGGTAAAGGATCACTGCTGCAGTCAGAAATGCAGGCTGATGAAAAGTGTTTCTGAATACAGGAATACTCTGAAACAGAGAGCAATTTTAATGAGCACTTGTTGACTTCACATTGCAGTGTTCCATGACAAAATGACATGACTGCCAGCCAAATGGTTCCACGAAACAATTTCCAAGAAACAATTCCAAGAAACAACAGGTAAGCATCAACAGTTCCAGGTACTCTGTTTCCTCAGATGAACACCTTTAAGGATCAGTAAACAAATGAACAAACATCTGCTCATAGTTCATAAGCTTAAACAACAGGTGCATGTATCAACAATTCCAGGTACTTGGTTTCCTCGGAAGCACCTTGTTAAGGTTCGGTTGACAAATACCAATTGTACCAAACATCTGTGCCTAAGTCATAATCTGAAACAATAGGAATCAGCATTTTCCAGGTACTCAGTTTTCTCAGATGAAACAGTTAAGGATCAGTTGACAAATACCTGTGCCTAGCTCATAATCTGAAACAACAGGAATCAACAATTCCAAGTACTCGATCATCACGGATGAACACAGTTAAGGATCAGTTGACAAATGACAGAACACCTGTTCCTAATTCATAAACTCATTACTAGTGATTATGAAGAGAGATTCTCTGAAGACTGGTCCTTGGAAATGAAATGAGCAAGTTGATGGCAATTTATCTAATGCACCATGTGTTGCACCCAAGTAAACACATTTTTCTTTCATGATGGCTATATGCCTCAAAGCAACTGGTTAAAAACAAGAATGAATAATACTAGTATATAAATAAATAAATAAATAAATAAATAAATAAATAAATAAATAAACTGCCTTACTCATTTTTTTTAAAGGGGAGCACATTAAACATAAAAACAAATCAAATCTATTATTTTCACTGACCATGGCAGTCTGATCCATATTGGTCATTATCTATGAACACAACTTTATGGCTGCATTCAGAACACCAGACTTACTCGTCTGTGGATCAAATATGGCAACCTACTTAAAAGCTTGCTGCCTAATCCCCTTATAGACTATAAAATAGATTTGCATTCAAGTGGGTCGGCCAAATTTGATTTGCATACTAGTAAGTCCATTGTAGTGAATTCAGCCTAATTAGTACATAGTTTTCCAATATTTTCTCTTTTGTGCACATGTCACAGTATTCTGGATAGCTGGGGTCCTTGGCTTAAAACAGGGACATGACCTGATGGCAGAATTTTTTGTAAACAAATGTGTGGGTTTTTTTTTTTTTTTGTTGTTTTGTTTTGTTTATTATTATTTATTATT